GGCACTATTTCAGCTGGATTTGGAAAGATGTTTAAGATTTAGATTTATAGAAAAAAGAAAAAGAATTTTAGCCTAAGGGAACACTGAGTAGAGGCAAGGAAATAAGTGCATATGTTAAATGGTGACCCATTCAAACTGACTGGAGTATAGGTAGGGTGAACGTATGTCCTGATTTGCCTAGGACAGTCTTGCTTTAGGCCTGTTTCCCCAACATAACTATTATAGGGTCCTTCTCACACTTGAATGTCCCATTTGGAAAATTATATGATCACCCTAAGTATAGGTTATAACAAGGAAGTAGGAGGAGACTAGCCTAGAAAGATAAGACTGAATAGTGGCCCCACAAGGGCCTTGTGCTAAAGAATGTATGTTCTTCTATAAATATTGGGATATCATTAGAGATTTAATAACATGTATTTTAAGAGGATCAGGCATCACTTACAAATACAGAGAGAGATGGGGAAAACCAGGGATATGAATATTTGCGAGCCTTGTGCAATAATTCTGGTAACATATAATGAAGACCTGCACCGAGATAATGGCTGTTGAAATGTGATGGAGATGAAAGTGAAAGACACTATATCTTAGCTCAGGTGTTGGCAGCTTCTCTATAAAAGACCAAACAGTAATTTTCTAGGTTTTGTGGGCTATATGGTCTCTGTTGCAGTTACTCAATTCTGCCATCGTAGCTGAAAGCAGACATAGACAATGCATAAATGAATAAACGAGGCTGTGTTCCAACAAAACTTTATGTATGAACACTGAATTAGAACTTCATGTAATTTTCATGCACAGGAAATGTTGTTATTCTTTGATTTATTTTAACCGTTAACAAATGTAACACCCATTCATTGTTTGTGGGTTGTACAAAAGCAGGTAGCAGGCCTGAAGCCCTTACTTACCCAGCACATGGACTAGAAGGATACCATACTCAGATCTACTGATCTCATCAGCATTTTGACTCTTTAAGCATCCTGTCATGGGATAATCCCCACATTATTAAATCCCCTGATTTTATTCTTGGCCAGAACAGCAAGTACCTTGAGTAATGGAATCCCATTCATAATTGTTTTATTCCTCACAGAATACAATAATGAGAACATTTAAATCAGTCTGAGTAGTTTACTTTTGCTTAACTGAATTATTTAATAATGGGGTTCGAGATAAAACTATAGGGAAAATATTATACATCTTGTTAACCAAACTTCAAAAGGATAATCTGTCATTTTGACATACTTTACTTTTATTAGACGTCTTCATAAATCATCATGGTGCCTCACACTTCAGGTGAGTGTATATTTGCTCAAGAATAGGTGCTATGCAATTGCCTTGGCAATAAAGAAACAAATAGGTGATTCAAAGGAAACACACTTTGCAGGTAACATATTTCCAAATATTCTTTGCCATAAATTTATATATTCGTATCTAACTTGGCTATAGAGCTAAAAATAGTCTTTCCATAAATGCCACTATAAAATTGAAGTTATGTTTCAAGATTAGCATAATTTTGGCAAAGCAGGGATGGAGAGGGTTGGAAGGTAAGGTTCGTAACACATATTCAAAGAAATAATTGACTAGACTGGGGACACTTGTGAGTATTTGGGGCTGTCAATTTATAAATCATTAGTTTTAATATGATTTAGTCGTGAGGAAAGTTGAGTTTCCAAGGATCGAGGACATTGGCTTGGGTACCAATGTGGCAATGTGGCAATGCTACATTCATTGAAACTACCTGGAGATTCTATACTTCCAGAATCTCCAGGTAGTTTCAATGAATGTAGCATAACAATCTTGCTGCTGCCTCCTACTCCTGCCCCACATAATTTCACATACCCCTCTCCCCATAACTGAGGCTTGTCCTGTCTCCAAATTAATGCTCCTGGGATATTGCTTCCTCTCTACCTAAGGTGTTTGAAAAGTAATAGTGTCTAATATTCTAGTATGACAACTCATGAACAGCTGGGGAAAATTACAGGATAAAGACCAGCCTAAAAATTTAGTTTGTTTTCTGTTTCCAAAAATTGAGTAAGAAATGTAATCACTGATATACTGTTGAAGTAATATAAAATAAGGATTACAGAGCCAGAATTGCTTTGAACTTAAATATTAAATATTCAAGTGCTACCCTAGATCACTCAGATGTTTTCTCTGGTCCAAATTCTTACTGCATAATTCTTAACCCCCACTCATTACAGAAGATGGGCTGGCTAGATTGGAGAAGAGAAAAAAAAGAGAGGTTAACCATGTTTCTGATAAATTAACAAGAAACAGTTCTTAAGGGAAATGAAATCTGGAGCTCAGTTCCCTAGACCATTAACAAAATATGCCTTCCCCGAAATCAAGCTCAATATTAAAACTTCAAACGTGACTATACTTAAAAGTACCTAGTGTCTCACCAACTATTCCTTTTCCTAAAGTTTTACAGGAACTTTTCCATTTGTATTTGCATTGTAAGAAAACCTCTTTACCAGGAACAACTGCTATCACAGGTGTTTTCTTAGGTACTATAGCCCTGTCATTCTCCAACTTTACATCTACTGACAAACAGCCGCTACTGATCACTTGTTACAAGGGAAGCAAACCATAGTAGGTAGACCCCTATTCCCAGGGATGAGATACACCTATGGAATGAGAAGTGTGTTCGCCTGAGCATGTTGCTTGTTCCAGCCTGCATGGCATCATAGATGTGTACAGCACCAACTCATGACACCTCCTTCCTATCTCTGGTTACTTATTCTCCCACATTAGTAGCTTCTGTCAACACAAACTATTTCCACCAAATCCCAAGAGTCTGAAGTAAGAAACCTGGACATCAATCCCAGCTCTGCTACTTATTGACAGTGTGATCTTGACCAAGTTATTTCAATTCCAAAAAGATGAGAATAATGAAATTACTCTTCTCAAGGGGCTATTAGGAAGATTAAATGAGATTACAGTGACATCTCTACAAAGGAGTGAGAGGTAGTCTGGGTTGCATGGAGCAAACTTTGACTAACACATGAAGACTGGCACAGACCTCAGGCCCTGGAGGCGATCCTACTTTGCTAATGGCTTAGAGAAGCAAAAGCTGAGAATAAGGTAAAATGAGAGTGGAGGTAAAAGAGAAAAATCTTAAATTAGGTAGTGGAAGGAGGAACAAAAGCAAATGGTATGGGGGGGAGGGCAGTTGATGGTAAGATACTGTCCTAGAAGCATACCATACTAAGCAATATTCTACAATTTGAATGCTTCAGTGTAGTAGCTAACATTTAATTTACATTTTATAAAGTTTTTTTTTTCCATATTTGTGGCCCAGTTTCAGTGAAAGCTTTTGTTACTAAGTAATTCTTTTAGTCCTATTTCCTGATATAAACATCCCCTCATGCCAGATTTCATTCCAAAGATGTTCAAGAGACCTATGAGTTCGAACATTTGTGAGTCTTCTATTCTCTGGGCACCGCACACACACAGATGAAGGCATGGCTGAATTTAGTATCAGTCATTCTTTAAAATAAAAGATGCCACTTAATTTCAACCAACTGTAGAAAGCAAAAGAGGAAGAGAGACTGAAAGATCCACCCAAACACTAACAGTGGTTGCCTCTGAGTGATGGAATGAAAAATGACATTTTCTACCACATTATACTTTTGTACAATGATTATTCAGTACAATGACCAAATTTTCTACCATGATTCATTTCGTTTGGTTTAAATGTGGACACAAAAGAACAGGTACTCCCCTTGTAACTAGGAACTTCTTATTTGCTAACAGATTCGTACAGAATTTACTGCAATGAGATTTTGTTGATGTACTCGTGGTGGAAAATGTCTAATCATCGTTATTTTAAAACAGACTTTTATCACAGGTGTGGACCTCAGAAATAATCTAATGCAACATCTGCTTTTTAAAGATGTGAAAATTAAGGGCGAGAGATTTGGAATGATTTGTTTAAGATCACACAAATAGCAACAACTTGAAGACTAAAATCTAGGTGTCGACTTGCAACTCAGAGCTTCTTCCACTACACCATTTGTTTGAGTTATGATTCTCTTAAGTCCACCACCATTTGAGGAGCATCTTGGTGTGTGAGGTGCTACAAGAAAACAAAGATGGAGAAAACCTACTCCCTGGCCTCAGGGGAGACAAATTGTTTTAAAATAAAAGACAAATTGACTGTGTTCTGCTTTTATTATAAAACCTTAGCAGCTACTGGTGAAAGACAGCATTTGATTTTTTTTCCCCCAAAAGTCTGCATTCAGGCAGTTAACATTCTGCTACCACTCAACAAGCTATAAATCCTCCATAATTTGGAAGGGAGGCAGTAGAGGAATGGGAGTTATAATAAGTTAGCTAACAACTAATTACTCTTCAAAACTTAACTGTGAACTTTACTTCCATTAAGCATTTCTATTGCCCTTCTCTAGTTACACAGCCCCCATACCTTTGAAAGAAGAAATACATTTACTTTTTCTATTTTTAGTGGTTGCAAGAACCTGTGATTTAGCTCTAAATTTGAGCACCACATGAAACCGCTGCAGATATTTACCTCCTTCTTTCACGGTTTTCACGTTTTCTCTATCTACTTAGACTTCGGGGACCACGTCTGCCATCTCCCTAAACAGAGTGGCACGGCCCTGAAAACGCATGGAGCTTCCTTCCAGGAGCCTTACTATTGAAGGGGCTCTGCCACAGTGTTCCTGAGACGTCCAGGAGAGATGAGTTCATCACTCCCTTCAACTCCTCTTTTTTCTTGCCCTCAAGACAGCACTACCATGGCGAGTCCTCCTGTCAGCTGACTGATCTGTGACTCCCAGAGAGGCTCATTCTGAGAAAGGGACAGCAGAGAGAGACCTAGGGGATACGTGACGGTTGGCACTTGAGGGGCAGACGAGCGAGCGCCAGATTCAAAGAGTGAACCGCGGGAATAAAGAACTGGCCTTCCTGCACCTCAAAATAAAATACCACGTCACTTAAAAACGAAAACGTTCTCAACAGCAATACTCTAAAACAAAACCACTCACCTGCAAAGAGGTCACCAGCAGCAGCCGGTCCTCTGCGCCGCGGAGGAGGCAGCGCCGCCTAGGACTCATCACTGCCGCCGGCATCGACTCTCTTTTCTAGCCCGGGCGCCAGAGGGGCAGGTCCTAGCGCTCTGCCTATTGGAGCGTCTATCTGTCACTCATTGACAGCCCCGCCTTACTCCCAGGAACAGGTCGAGGTCTTTTCCGTTTCCCAAATCCCTGGGGTAAAGAATAAGGCTATGATTGGCTCTCTCTGGAGACGAGCACATGTTCAGACCAGTAAGAAGCTGGCTTCGACGCCTGTGGGCGGGCTTAGGCCTGGGGAAGCAGGAAAATAAAGCAGCGAGCCTATAGTCCTCACAATGAAAACACTTAATAGTTGGGGACCCCTTAAGCGGCTGAGGTGCTAAAAAGCGTTTCGCGTTATGAGGGAGATACCTGCCGATGTAGAAGTGTCGGCGAAATCTTGGAAGTGATGAGGTGATGCCTTCTTTCACTCGTGGAAAACTTCAATCCGGGATGAAGGTGGGCAATTCTCACAGAAGAAAGTTTCTGCTTTCCTCATGGTTTTGTTTTAAATCGTGATTAAAGACTTTAAAGTGCTCGATTTATGATCAGCAACTCATCCGCGCGTTCTCTTAGTACTTTTGTAGGGATTCCCCTTAAACAATTTCATGACACTTTTTTGGTTAGGAGAGAAAAGTGGTAAGTGGAATGCACTGAAAGCTTATAGAACAGATGAAGGGAGAGGATGGAGTGGAATGAGAAAGAGAAATACAAATTTGGAAGTCACAATTACTGAACAAGAGAAACTTATGAAAAATACCCGAAGCCTGCAAGGCCCTATCAGCTTCTAAGCAGGCCTGAACTACCACCACACAGGCTTTGAAGCATAAATGTCAGAATTTTTTTTTTTTTTTTGAGTTGATGAGCAAGATAAGGAATGGTATGTTTGCCTGACCACATGGGAAATTCCCCTTCTTGATTTCTAGAAGCTGTCTTACCTAGAGTTTAGTATCCTCGTTGGAGTATTTCCTATTTCATCCACCATAGCTAGTCCAGTAGATTTGTGCTTGCCGGGCAGGGCCTCAGAATACTTAAACATAAATTTGAAAAGATAATCTTTCCATGTGTTTAAGTCTGTGACACTGTATATTGAATTCATTAAGACTTTTGTAGTTAGTTCATTATCTCATTTATCCTTCTTAGAGGGACAGCCATTCACAAGTGTCAGAGTCTTAGAGCATTTTGACCTTTCTGGATACTTAATCTGCACTTAGGGCACTTGCTCATTGGATGTAGTTTTACTATTGTTAGGAATACTCGTGGAATGCTCGCTTGTCAATTAACAATATCAGCTATCACCTGCCTTTGAGGATCTCATTGTGCAGGTGAGGAATCTGAAATTTAAGAGATTTATTCAAAATTACATAGCAGGTTGTGGGGGGGTGGCGGGGCAGAGCTGGGACAAGGGTCCAAGGTTGCTAATTGATAGTTCTAGGAAAATGCTTTTTCTTATTTATTTTGCTTCTTTTTCCCCACTTCTCCAAAAAAGCAATAAAAAATTTTTAAGTCAAGATTACTGTTTAAATTTAACTTCCATTAAGACCAGTTGTGAGGATTTGAATCTGATATAGCAAGCAGTATAGAAAATAACTAAGTGTCTCAGTTCACTATTTTACTTCAAACAACTCTTGATGTAGTCCCACTTCCATCCAAACAAGAAGTGAAAAACATATTAATTTATTATAGCCACGTTGTCTCTTTGTCTTTCTTTTATGTGCATATATTGAAAAATCGATATTAACACATATGGTATTTCAAGGATTAGTAAGATTCTCTTATTCAGGATCTGAATAAAATGCTATTTCATGATAGCATACATACCTAGCCAAAATAATTTCATAGGTATTTACACAGAGCCCCTAGCCTTTGCGGGTAAAGTTGAGTTGGTCCACTAAGCATCAAAACATCTTCCACTGAACTAGACTATTGTGCCATTGGCTCTCTCCTTCCAGCAAACTCCAGACTTGGTTGGTCCTCTTGTCAATATACATCACGATCTGGTTGTTTGCTGCTAGTATCTAGTCTCCCACCACACCCTACCTTCTTCAGGGTCGGATTAAAATCTGCCACTCATAATCTAGTGTAATAGGCTGATGTTTGGCTTCCACTGTTGCCCTACTAATGACAGAGCCCCTTTATTGAAACCAAAAACCAGAAATGCTCTTATGGATCAGCCATGAAGACTCAGTTTAAAGCCATCTATCCTTTCATTTCACATGTTAAAACATAGAATCCTCACCTTACAGAGTAGTGTGAAGAGTAATGGAGGCAATTTTGAAATAGATTTGCAGTGTCCGAAGATACAGTGTTTGACCTCAGCCTGTGTTTTTATCTGTGAAATAAGAATAATACCTAAGTGGCCAATGTGAAAATTAAATGAGATAATGCAGCGTGTACATGGCTCATGGAAAGCATTCAGTAAATGGTAGTTTTTCTTAACAATTACAGAAATGATAAATGTAGAGTGTTTTAACTACTTATAAGTATTCCTTTAAGAACTCAAAAAAGTCTGGGCCTTGTGCTTTCCTCTCCTTTCCTGGATGACTACAGAAGTTATAGGACAGGAATTTCCTCAGTTACTTCGCTGCTACCCAGAGAGGCAACTGTCAGGAAGTGAATGCCAGAGAGAGGACAGACCCAGTGGCAGGGCCAGGAGCCTCTGATATCAGGAAGTCTGAATTATGTGAAATTCCCTACTTTGAGTCTTAACATTGAGCATCCTGGGGCAGGAAAAGAGCCAAGATGATTTCCTCCCCCCCACACACACACTCTTAATTCTGGGGGAAAAAATAAATTACTCTTTGGAGTGAGGAACCAAGTTAAAGAAGGAGGAAACTTGCAGAAAATCAAGAGGCATTTTTCCCTTTTACAGATTCTTTACCCTACTGCTTAGAGAAAAAAACACATTTCCTTAAATGCTTGTTTTTTGTTTTTCGTTTTGTGGAAGTGAACAAAGTAGTCAGAATTTCTGCCCTGTGGAGCTTGTTTTTCAGATGCCATATCTTGTTATTATAACTTGAGATTAACAAATATTGCACTTATTGTATAAGGTTTAGAAAAGACAAAATTTAAAATGTCTATAATCCTACCACTCAAAATTTACTAACAATTTTTATTTCCTACTATTTTTCCCTTTAAATCAATTATTTTAAAAAGACTGAAATCCACAGTATATATATTCTCTTTTGCAGGAATATTTACTTAATTTTTAATGAACATTTCCCTATGTCATGTAATAGTCTTCAATACGTAATTCCATCATGTGAGCATGCCTTCTGGTATTATGTCTCACAGTTCAAACAATCTCCTACTCTTGTGGATTGAGTTTTTTTCATTATCTTGAAAAGATTCAGGTATTTAAATGGGCTGTCTCTTTCCTTAAATGAGAGTTCCCTGGGAATGTCTGTTGAACCCAGGTACTGAGTGTGGGCTGGCCAGCCCTTCTTTGCTTGAGGCTGATAAAGTAGCCAGGAATTCTTTTTTCTGTGCCCTGGTATTACAGAGCTAAGCAAGGTGAAGCCAGGTAAGCCTGAAAGCACCTGAAAGCCTGAAGGATGCCCTTTTTTAACTCCTGCTTCCCTCAGCGTTTCCTGTTCTTTAACCTGAAGAAAAGGTGGTTAGGTGAGAGAAAATTAGTGGAGGGGTTGGAATCGGGGCTCCATTAATAAAACCTAACAAAACTCCTGGCGTATGTATCTCCCTTTTACAGATGAGGAAGGTAGGGGTCAGAGAGAGAACTGGTCCAAGCCTGCACAGCTAGTTAGAGAACTAGAGTTGGACTGCAGGTCTTGGTTCTGAAATTTGAACTCTGCCCATTATGCTTCCCACTGTTCCTAAAACTGACTGATATAATGTCATTCTTTTTTTTCCCATCTATGGGGAATTTGTCAGTCTTCTAAAATATATTTGTTATCTGCTCTCTAAAAAAAAAAAAAAAAAAAATCCCCTGACTGTCCAAGAATTTCTTCTGCCTTGAGTTTCCTGAATTGGCTCGCTCTTTTTCGATGAAGAATCAGGTGACTTAGCTTTTTTCCCCCCACATTGTATTTGCTAATTTTCTTAAAAAAGTGACCTCACTGTATACATTGGAAGGTCAAAGTCATAAAAGGAAGTTCTTATAAACCCTGCAGCAACTTAACAACATTACACATTGTTTTGGGGACTTACGAAGTATGACTATATACATATGTAGCAATTGGCCTATTTTTCTAGGTTGGCTCATAATCTGGTTCTGAAGGAAGTTCTAAAGATGGCTTTTCAGAATTGTTTAGAGCCGTGACGCATCACGGAAATGGTGTATAACCTCCCCATATGATACTTTGAAGGCAGTAACGCTTATTTGGAAATGTAATTTCTGGAATGTTTTGTTAAAATCTCTTTGCACGACATAATCAAAATCAATTTCACTTAAGTTTCAAAATATGTTTTCTCCATCCCCCTCACTCCCACGTGTGAGCACAAGCATGCACGCGTGCGTGCACACACACACACACACACTCCTTTGCCCAAGCTACAGTCACCTCTTGCCTAGATTTTCTCAGTAGATGCCTAAAAAATTTTTCTAAATCTACTTTTGCTTTCTTTTGGGTAACCAGAGTGATATTGGTAGAATATCTTTGCACTTCGTCACAGCTAACCCCACCCCCCCCACCCCCCACCTTCCACTTAGCTTAAAACACTGCAGTGGTTTTTCATCGCTCCTAACATTGACCTTCCGTCTTCTTCCCTTTGTACATGCATTTTCCCTACCTCGAATTCTCTTCCCTCCCAAGTTAAAACACAGAACAAGAATCCAAGTTTCCTAACTCCCAGGCTAAATTTCTATGCAAGTGTACTACAGAGGACTAATAATTGTCTAACAGGGTGAAAATGTGATTCAGAGGTTAAAAAAAAAAAAAAACACAATAATGGGCAAGAATGTGAACCTTGGAGCCAGTCTGCCTGGGTTTCAAATCTGGCTCTGTTCTCTACTAACCATGTGATCTTGGACAACTTGCCTAACATCCTTGCCTCATTTCTTCATTGTATAATGAACATAGTAATGATACCTATCTTATAAAGTTATATTATTTGAATAAGTTGACACACGGAAAGACCTCAATAAATTTTGATATAACGAAGTCTCAGTGATAGATTTTCTGGAGAAAAATAGGTACAGCAAGCAACTAGGAGGCCCTCCTAGAGC